ATACGAAGCTGGATATTGACGTAATCGGAGACTTGTTGCCGGTGACGCAACGTGGTAGTCTTGTGGAGGACATCGAGATATAAAGAAAGAAGAAAGAAAAAACGCCGCTCGTTTGAAACCGTGGCGTGCCACATTTGCATATGGTGTTTTAAGACCCATTGAATGTCGATGTAGCGACAGATACAAGCGATCGCCTGCAGAAAATTTTTCTTCTTCTCGAATATCGAAACGCTCGAAAACCAAAGGTACATATTTTCGATACATATATATGTATATTTAACAAATAAAAAAATATGGAAGGTAAAAGTTACATGAGAGAAAAAGGCTCTTTGATATTAAATCGATAAAAGGATGGATAGAGCCAATGAGAACGGAAGCACGGATTTTTTCAAATCGATTGATTTATTGATAAAAGAATTACGATTAGAAAATATACAAATACTCAATGATCGATCTATCGCTCTCTACACCAATGCTGCTGATGATTTTGAAAGTTCGAGTTGCTCACACACATACACATAGAGTATTCCGCGTACGGGTGAAGCATCGGCGAAATTAGGACGGGAGATATTATCAGACGTATTTTATTATTGCGCTTAATGTAGACTGTGACTTCCGTCCATTGGAGCGCCGTTCAATGAAGTTAAATTAGATGAATCTCGCCTAGTTAAAAAGCGTCGTTCACACACGCCTATTTATAGCCAGCTGGCATAATGCACGCGTACTCTCTAAATTTTCCCAAGTGTAATCGCACTCAAAACAAGTGAAAAGTGACAGTGTTTTCGCTCGAGGCGATAGTGAAAATACCGCCGCTCGAAATCGCAAGAGAGGATGCTTCGCTTAAACCTAGAGTAGATTCTGACTTCGTTTCAATCGATTCGAGCGAATTTGTTCCCATGACAGTGAGACGGATTAACTCTTCAATTTCGATTGGAAATATTCATCCTATAAGAATCACTCGAATCCAAGTAATTCGGCTGTTACTTCACTTTTCGAGTGAAATTTTATCCCGAGATATTTCGAGAGTGCGGAAATCGCATCACGCAATTTCGATTTCCACGCGTGCAGCTTCTTCGTCGGCCGATCGCCTCTCTCGCGAGCCGCAGCTCGGGAGATGAAATAAACGTCGCGGCGTGGAAGCGGAACTAAATGGAATTTACGTAATCGTGCGTCGCGAGATGTGCGGCGAGATCAGATACGCTGTAGACGTTAACAAACAGACGCGAATCTTTCGGAAGGAAACCCGATACCTTTGGCGGACGTTGGTAGTACTGTAGTTTCGATTTAACTTAATGACGTGCTTTTGCACGCAGCTGGCCGCGGAATTTTGAAGCGTTTGCAGGAATCACGCTTACGAGCGGTAAGCACGACAGTCGCCTCTTTAAGCGTGCAAAAACACCCGTGGCTTCCGTAACTTTGTCGTTAACCCAGTTAGGGACTGCCGTTCCAGTACATGCACCGCACGCTCCAGTCCGCCGTTTCGCAGTCATTCCAGGACCGGCGAACCGATGTCCAGATAAGAGCGCGGCAATGCCACGTCGTAATTGCAATCAATTGCGTTCCTAATTCACAGGATTGAGCGGGAAATATCGCCGCTCGCTCATTAAGACATTCGTCGCGTGTTGTTAGGAGCGAATATAATTTCTCGCTCGAACGGTATCGTTCTTTCTGTTCAATATTTTCTCCTCTCGACTCATAAAAATTATTCTTGAATGACAAAAATGTGTTTTCGGTGGGATGTCTTGTAGAATTTCTTCACGTGTAAGCAAGTTTTATCTTTATATAAGATTATATATTCTTGCTTATATATGAGAACACGAACCTTGAATATAAAAATATGAATTGAACATGAGAATATGAATCTTGAATGTGAGAATATGAACATTTGAATCTCGAACATGAGAATATGAGTCTTGATTTGGCGCTAATTTTTTTCCTCGCACACATGCTTTTGAAAATTACACCGCAAGCATAGTAAAAGAAAAGAAATCAAACGAAAGGGTAACGAAACGACGCTTCGGTCATGTCCGAAAATACATTCTAATATACGAAACGCTCGTGTTTACCGAATCCCCGTCGATATACGCGACATCCCGAAAAATAACAAATCACGAGATTGGATTTATACGGCGGATTTCTCGTCGATTCTCGATGTGAGAGGAGGACACATTTCATCCGACCAGTGTCCTAACGCAGTCTCCTCAGTGTGAGAATTGTCACTTCCCACTTATTCCTCGTGGTTGCTGACCGCGCGAAACTTGCGAGACGGGAGATGCCGGTGGAAGGTAGAGGCGGACATTTAATTACGAGTCGGCGTAGGAGGAGAGGCGCGCGCTGGAGGAACTCCGACGACGATGGTCGTGAGCTATGTAACTATCAAGTGTGCCGCTGCTTATACGTAACGACGACAATTACGACGGCGACGTAATCAATCCGGAATGACAAAGGGGTACGGAGATAAATCGCGCTTACGATGCGACCGTACGATCATTCGCGCTCCCGTATCTGCAGCCTCTCTCACTGCACAGTCGCGATACGAATATAAGGAAAAGAAAAATATTGAAGATGGAACGAGAAAAGATTGAGAGATCGGCAGGATAAAGAAGGAAAGGTCCCCGCTGGTCTTTCAAATGTTTATTTTTCAAGATATAAGATCGAGAAAAAGGGTGTCCTCGAACCCTCGAAAATGGATGATGAAATCAGTGTATTATCACTGAAAAACGGTGGAATCAATAGTAAATGTGTCATCAATTTTCATCTTCATACGATCCAAAGTACAGAAGAAACGTCATTGTCTTTCTCAGTCGTGCGGAGTCGTGCATCTACGATCGACTTTCGTTCCGGAACGTTTCACGTGGGTGAAGGGTTTCTCCAACTTGGCGCGATCTATATCGAGCCGTGATGTGGTTTGCAATTTAACGGGATAGTTTGTTGCCGTCGTAATTAATATATCATAGCTCACAGGCTCGGCGAAAAATCGATCGGCACGACATGCGCACACGTAGACACGACGTCGGTCGCACGCGCCTCGAATGTCCCGAATATTCGCGCGTCTGCATTGGATAGATTGATACGCGCGGCTTGAGCGCATCCGTGTAATCGTGCACGCGCGCTCACCTTGGCACAAATTCTCCCGACGCGTAAAATATAATATATATATATATATATA